AGAATTTGAAAATCTACGAATTTATAACTATTATAAAACGCTATATCACAAAGTGTAATTATATAACACGATATTATATATTATATTACAAAATAGGCGACGAGTTTATTCATAAATTTACAATTGCCGTTGAAATCGTCGATTTTATTTCATACGCCGTTACATTCGAAAAGAACAGCATCTCTCTGTAGGAGTTTAGCTCTCGTAAACTCGTGGCAAATCTGTCGTCGGACGAAAATTTTCAATTAGGAGCATAACAACGAGTGAAATTGCTAATTTCAACCGGCGGCTGCCTTACAACAGGACGCGTTCTTACGTTTAATCGTTTAATCGGTTATGATTTAAGGTCTCGTTCCTGCTCGCTTCCTCGAAGCTGCAATTCCCTTTGTGTCACGCGTGTTTTGAAAATTACACGTGCACGTGCCGAATGAACGAGCTCTTCATTACCGAGCGTGCTTTTTAATTTCTTCCCTTTTCGTCTCGATTCTCCGCCAGGGAAATATTCGCGATTAAAGGAGATGGCTGGAAACAAGGCATCTCCTCGCTTAAATGGTCAACCTTTCGTAGTGGCAATTGCCTTTCGCGCATCTCCGGTTGGCAGGAAATTGAGAACGCCCTCTGTATTTGCTCATACGTCGTGTTTCAACCGTGTTTAAAAACCGTGTCGAAAGATCGACAGATTTTCCTCACCTGCCTTTGTGGAAATTGATATTTGAAATTATCGTTGTCACTCCCTTGCAGAGAGACATTGAAAATCGCAGCTCGCGTCGCTGATGCGTATATACTCTCTGGTGTTTGCATTTTGCAATCCCCCAGTGGATGCAAATGAAGTATGAAGCGACAATGTGCGTTCGGGACATGTTTCAGCATTCGGCATCGGAATGTACAAGTTACATGTTTGTATACAGTTGCTATATCGGTAGTTGAGATCTCGTTTATGAATTATGAATAGCTATTCTCTGTAGTGAAGGGGATATGTTTATTCGTTGTATACTGTTACGAGATATTCTTGGATCAGGCAATTAATAATTATACGCTTTCGTGACTTAAATAAATTATACGTGTATGAAAGATTTATGTGGAAACGTGTGAAATGTGTTATTTTCATTTTACATTTAAAAAAAAAAAAAAGAGGAAAGAAGAATATTGTGTAGGGAAGATTATTCGATTGAAAATCAACAGCAATTGAATATTGAAAAGTAAACATAGTAGGTAATAAGAAAGACAATGTGCCGTGGCATTTATTGATCGTGACTGGGAATGTGTATTTTCTTCACTGTACGGCAGAAATTCGAGATGAATATATAAAATATATTACTGTGATGTTACTTCCAATATTAAAAGAACGTAGAGCCTAGCCGCGAAATTTTAATATCACATTTTTCTTTTTTGTATATAAAAGAATAATTATTTAATCCTATCAACGGCTGTCCCAAAAATTCCCAAAAATTCTCGACGTTACGATATTTTTACTGATCAATATTCTACGAAACTTACGTCCGATAGTCGCTTAAACGCAATTAATCGCACACTGTGTAAGAAGTGGCAATGGAAGTTTGCAAAGAAGCGAAGAAAATTAACAATTCACGTGATCGCATATCGCGCACGTGTTATTACTCTGAATTCTGGCGTGATCTAAGTTCGTCAAGTATTTTACAGTTACTTTTCCTACGAGAATACGCTCATTCTCGGCTGATGAAGCAAAATTTGTTTCTAGCTAGCGAAGGACACTTATCAACGGAGTTTGCAAATGTTCGAGGTTAAATAAAAATGAAACGACGAAAGTATCGAGGCCCATTGTTCGGAGGTAATTGAAATCAGCAATTAAAAGTTAAAAAGTAGCATCGATACTGCGAGCTTCCTCACGTTGCATTAATCCGAACTATGTCAGGCGCCAGGGTTAATTAAAATAGGAAACGTAATTGCTACATCGTTGATGAACCAATTTGCCATTTTCATTTCAGCCATTTTATAAAATTAGCTTCATAGAGAATAGATCATGAACGTAGCAGACCAAAGTGAGAACCTCTTTGTTACTATAATTATTAGAGTCCTTTCGGCGCAGGTGAAAGGGTACTTAGCAAAATTGCTTTACCCTTTTTTTTTCCCCCATTCAAAAAATCCTCGTATGTAGGACACACATATATATTTTGTCTCAATCCTGATCAGTTAATTAAAGACTATCAAATGCATATTGAAACCTTTCCAAATTTAAATTTATGCTGTTTAAACTCATCTCTTAACGTTCGCCAATTAAAAATTCATCAGTTGAAATCCACCGATTGAACCATATTGGTAATTTTTAACGTTCAGCAGATGAATTATTTTCGTCACGTATTTATACCCGTTATTTCTTTCTCTGCTGAGATGAAAGTCAAAGCTACAAGAATTTAATATTTTATCATTAAATTGCTGATATTCTGCATCGGTATTATACATTTTCTGTTTATCTATTGCAAGTACAAAATCTATTCATTTCTACGTATGCTCAATTCTGTGAACGATGCAATATCTAGCATGAAGGATGCAATACCCTTATTGCACAAGTGTACTCGAAAATAAGCGGAATTAATGGAGATCTAATCATTTGGGCAAACAGATTCGATGAATTGCCCAAACAAATCCGACTCGAGTGCCGTTGTTGTAAACTCTTGGATTTTAACGTATTATCGTGAGAAAGATATAATAAGCATTTACTTGTTGATTCTTTTAATGGTGTTTTATCATGACTATCATTGAAAAGTATAACGATCCGTCATACGAAAGCGTACACTTTCTTCTAAAAATAAGTGGTAAGTCCAAAAAATTGTGTATAAAATCAACGAAGGAAGTAAGATTATAACATTCTCAGTTATTATTTCTCGTATATTCATGAATTAAAAGGAGACAGCTTAGATAACGCACAATTAATTTTCCGTCTAATGAACTTTCTGATAAAAAAAAGACGTACAACGATAGACTTCGTGGTCTTTATATAATGAAATTCTGAGTTTTCGAAATTAAACGCCAATTAATTTAACTGTTTATTTGTAACTGTTATGAAAAATAAGAATAAGATTCCTTCAGTTTTCGAAGGAATTTTTGAAATTATTATCTGAACTCATTATTGGCTCTCGCGTTGATAAAGTAGAAAGTGTGTTTGATCTCCTTTAAGAAGCACCTCGCTGAAACTTTTTACTTGACTCATTTCCTTGCTCTCGAGGAACACACTCCTTTCTTTCTCTGCTTCGAGGCAACTTGTAACTTATTTCCTGGAATTACTCATTTCTCTTCTGTTCTCGCGGACGATTGTTTCTCGAAGAAGAATTTTTATAGGTCAACGAGGTACACGTCGTGTCGAATCGAATGTGCCTGTGAAGAGAGACGCCACCTTTCTACCTTATCGACTGATTTCACAGAGTTTACGAAGCTTTCGAGCTTGCGAGCTTTATATTATCTGACCAACGTTGTAACGCTGTTGTCTAGAGTGCGCTACTTGACGTTGCCAATCTACGTTTCGTAAGACAGAGATCTTGGCAATTTTCGGATTTTTCTCTTATTTTTTTTTTAGTCATGTTGTTTAAAGAAGCAACATTTAGAAAAGTGCTTATGCATTGCTTCTAACGAAAGCTACTCTTGCTTTACCACAAGTAGGTAATTATAATTTATTTAGACAAATTCAGAGAAATTGCTCTTAATTTCATAGTATTATCTTTCCTTTAGAAAAAAACATCAGGGAAACTGTGTAGACAGACAGAAAAGAAGTTCGTTTTGTAGTTTGACTGAACCCATATTACATCTAGATTAATTTATTTAACGAAAACTTATACGATATGAAACAAATATAAACTTATACAATATAAATACAGACCTATATAATGTAAAAAAGGTTATAAAATAATTTTCTAGTTCATCGTGCAAGAAGTTCCAAAGATATAGTCGTGTAATATTCATCCTAACCTTCCAGTGTGTAATACCAAACTTCTGGTGCAGTGATTTTATCTCGAGGACAAACTTATATTTCCCCCGCGTCGCATAAAGTACCTACGCGTATTATTAAACCAAGTTTTTACAGACATACTTTTGCAACTTTATTTTGAGACACGCGCGAGACAAGTAGTATCATCGAGACGTGAACACCACGTGGCGTATTGAAAGCGAGTTTTTCACGAGCTTTCCACGCTGCGTTCGCCATCCAGAGCGCAAGCCCGACACGCAAGTTTAGCTTCTCCCGGCGCGAATCGATGCTGTACTCCAGCTATCCATTCACATCCCTTCGCTCCGTTGTTCTGAAGTAATCTCGCCGTCGTACAACCGCGAAATTTAATCCAACGCCAATCACGTTGACAACACGTTTCGCTCCAGATCGATTTTTCAGAAAGAACAGGAAGGATATCCTAGGAAAATGCGGAAGGTAACAGAGATCCGGAAGGAAATGATCAAAGAGCCACAACGTAACGTGAAGTAACGTCGAATTACCACAGGAAGCGAAGTTGATCCACCTCGAGGATCAGAGGAATCCTGGATCAGGGTTCGTGCCATCCAGGATCTTGTGAAAACCATGAATTATACACAACGTCTTTACGATACTCTTCCTCAAACTTACTCGAGGAGCATCGATCCGCGGATACATCCGGCTCGTTTAACCTGAGACCGTGATTGTTTATCGGCAAGTGATCACGACAAGTCGATTGACAAGCGGTCGACAGGAAGGATCAGCTCCGAGTATACGACGGTGATGATACAGAGGAGCATCCCGTGCAGCGCAGTCGTCTTGACAACGGCGGCGCCACGTGCGTGTATGCCGTTTTGTCGGAAGCGAGATGGCGAGGAAGCCATCGAGCAGGAAGAGGCGAGCGAGCCGCGTGGACGAAGCGAGACAGAAGCGGGGCGAACGAGGGAGAGGGAGAGCGAGAGAGAAGGGTTGGACAGGGTGGTAGGAGAGAAAGAGTGGGGAGGGCCGAGTGTTGGTGATCGGAGAGAGAGAGAGAGAGAGAGAGAGAGGGAGTGAGTAAGGAAGGGGATGGTTGTGAGCGCGAGAGAAAACTGCTACGATGTACCGCAGTACGGAGTGGTGAGCTGCGAGTTGGCTCCTCGACAGTGAAAAACCAGTGAGCTGGAGGACGCAAGCTGACAGAGCCCACACAGTGACACGTTATCGAAACTGATCCAGATTTTGTTCAACCCTGCTTTTCTCTCATCCGCCATTTCTACTCAGCGAGAGAGATCCTCGCGCGTCTCGTTTCCCACCGCCACGATCATGTGATATTTCATGTCATCACTGTCGAATGCTGGTCATCGGCTCAAGGACAATCAAAGTTATCGCACGCCACCCTGAGAGACGAGTCGTTTCGATGTTCGTAGAAGAAAGAGGGAACATCCCTGTCGCGTGTGTCGGTGTCTGATGTAATTTGAGGGAATCCGATGGAGATGTTCTAGCTATTGTGTCATGTCAAGGCCGATGCAGTATGTACCATGTCGACACGTCTCGTCGCTGGTTCGACCGCGATATTTCGATCTTCGACGATCGTCCCCGGATTTCTCGGGAGAGAGATTCGTTGCATCGCCACGATATTGAGCGCACCGGGCGGTTGAACGTTGCGAGCAGTTTCTTCGGAAGCCCCGATCAGCTGATTCCCCGTTTCGTCACCGATGGTAATCGAGGCTGTGACAACTGTTAACGACGACGACGACCATCACCACCGACGTTGATCGTCGATTCGACACGCTTGTCGGTGGTTACGTTTTACTACCTCGTTAAACCGGGCTCTGTCGAGAACGTTTCGTAGACGTTTTTTTTCTTACACTTACGACCTCGTATCGATCAAGTCGAACGATGCGTGGCTCGTTCGCCGAACAATGAACACCGAAACCGACGAGGATGAAATGGACAATAACGTTGTCGTTTCAGTGCACGCTCGTCGAATTGACAATCGTTCACGTAGAAAAGGGACACCGTATTGTGTGCTGATTTCAAGTGTACGATACCGAGTTGTTTATCGGCGAGGCATCTGACGTTTCGCGCTGAAAGATTTATACCATGGAAGAAATCTGAAGGTAACATCGGGAATAACCTCGAAACACGCACAGAGCAAGCCTTAACGACGTCCTTTCTAGAAAGTAAGCGGCTGTAATGGAAAAAAGAAAAAGCAGAATCGATTGATCGCTTCGCAACTTGTCGCAAACTTGTTCCTAACGAAACGTTCACACCATCAGCGACATACCGGTGTTTAACGAGCGCTGACGAACTAACGTTGCAATGTTCATGACCTTCCATGTCGTCACGTGACATCGTTTAGATCAATTAGACATCTGTCGTGGCAAGGAGCTGCTGTCGTCGACGACGGCTGAAATATCGGCCGATTGAAACCACAGGCAATCAATTAAGTCGCCCGCTGGGAGAAACGATTCGTTTAATTACGATTCGTTTATGATACGTCCGACTCGATACGAGCCAACAGTCACAATGGCAGAAACACTGGTACAAACGTTTGCACACATGGCTCGAACGGTGTTGCGATAATGCGTCGGACGGGAAACAACGATCGTTTGGACTTCCTGCAATTAGCACCGTGGATAACGAGGGTAACGAGGATGCGTTTGTCGAATACAGTGCATACCTTCGGCGCGTCGGGCCTCAACGAAGCACGATGATGTTTGTTATCGACGATAAACGATGGCTCCGATCGCGAGGCTGATTCAACGTTATTTCACGTCGGTCGGAAGATCGATAACGCCGTTCTCCAACGGACTTTTTATGCCCCAAGCGCGTCCGATTTTTGAGGATTATTGTTAAACATAGACGATAGACGTGTTGTACGTTCATAGAGGTTCACTTTTGAGATTATTGTTGAAGCTGCTCACGTTTGATAGTTAACGCTAGATTAATAGCTGTTCCACTGTTTTCCATTGTTCCAGCAATTTTGCGCGAGACGCGTAATTTTGAAAGAATTTTCCTTACGATTGATACATATACATATACATATATATATATATATCGCAAGTATATACACAGTTATATATCGAAACGTTGTAACAATTTCGGTCCGAAAGTAAGAACCGAAGTTGCACTTGTTAACCGGGGTCACTAGCTCACTTGAGAAATTTCGAAAATTTTAAACGAAGAATTCGCAATCCGTCGCGAGCGAACAAACTTCAAGATTGAATAGCTATTGATTTCGCACGCTTAGTCGCCGACGTTTTATTCTTAATTAATTGATAGTAAATAACTACGTAGAAGTTGAATCGTAGTTGGGACGAGGACAAACTTTCGCGATCCGAAAACAATTTGTTTGTCCTGTTTCTTTTTTTTTTTTCTTTTTCGAGGGGTAATTTCAGTTCTCGTCAACTACTTACGAAGAAAGTTTGCCGAGAATTAATATATATACACATATGTACGATCAAAAGAGTCAACCGTGGAGTTTGATGCGTCGAGTTTATCGATTAGAAATTACTGACATCTCGAAGCGAGTACAAATTGCTCTCGAAGCGATTAAGTTAATTTGTCGTCGTTGGAAGATCGTTCTCTGCTTACGTATCCCATTCACGAGAAGAAATCATTCTCGGCAAGCGAAGAAATCAAAAGGAAACTAAAAGTGAAATTTAATCAATCAAATCCTATTTAACGAGTCGTTCTGAGGAACGAAAGTAAAGAATCAAACAAACGTTACAATAAATATATCCTCAGAGAAAAAAAAAAAAAAAAGAAAGCGAAGGTAGAACGAGATTAAAAGATCAAAACCTTAATCACGTCGACGAACGGGGAGAAGCGAAAAGCGAGGAGGAAGAATAATCAAATCTTCGACTGTACGCTGCGACCGGATCGATCTGTCATAGCAATCATGGTGGGGAAATGTTTCAAGTTGTGCGATCGGTTCGATCGCTCGGAAGTGATCCGCGATCTGTTGAAACACGACGTTTGGACGCACCGCGTCACGTAATCCGCGATGTGATAGTGGCAAAGAGGAGATGACGATATCGGAGGGACACCGTAGATCGATTCGTTCGCCGGTTGAACGATCACGCGCAACAAAGTGAAGCTCCCACCGGGAAAGAGGGAACATCGGGCGAACGAGTCGGCGTTCCGTCAACTGTTCGCCCTGTTTCACCAGCGTAAGCCTCGGGATCCTCTTCGAGGCCAAAACGCTGCCTCGTCGGTCCCCCTGCTCGAAATGGGCGCCAGGGCATGGGACTACGAGGCACTGCCGGAACTTCATACCTCGGCTGCCGTCACGCCGACCTCCACGCCGCCGAATGCACAACAGAAGATGCACTCGCCGAGGGTATACTTCCAGCCGGAGAATTTGGCCTCCACCAGGAGACGGAGCAGCTCGAGGTTGTTCGCGCCCCAATCCTCCTACAGGAGACGCAGCAGAAGCATGAGCGCATGGGGCGACCTGTCGAGATCCTCGTTCAAACTCGATGAGAGGTAGGTCGTTGATGGTTGAACCATGGAGGATGCGAGAAGTTGAATGAGTAGGTCTGCTGGAATTGGTTTTGAGAACGTTTGCAAGAGATTCTTGGTGTATCACACGTTTCATTGAAATACTCTTTCAAACTTGATGAGAGGTAGATGGTTGAACCATGTGAGTTGAGAAGTTGAATGGCTGTAGGACTAGTCTGTTGGAATTTGTTTTCATAACGTTTGAAACAGATATTTGGTGCATCACATGTGGATCGTTTTGTTGAGATACTTTTTCAAACTTGATGAGAGATAGGTCGTTGGTGAATGAAGCATGGAGTATATGAGTTGAGAATTTGAATGACTATAGGACTGGTCTGTTGGAATTGGTTTTCATAACGTTTGAAAGAGATATTTGGTGTATCACATGTGGATCGTTTTGTTGAGATACTTTTTCAAACTTGATGAGAGATAGGTCGTTGGTGAATGAAGCATGGAGTATATGAGTTGAGAATTTGAATGACTATAGGACTGGTCTGTTGGAATTGGTTTTCATAACGTTTGAAACAGATATTTGGTGTATCACAGTGGATCGTTTTGTTGAGATACTTTTTCAAACTTGATGAGAGGTAGGTCGTTGGTAGTTGAACCATGGAATATGTGAATTGGGAAGTTGAATGACTGTAGGACTAGTCTGTTGGAATTGATTTTCATAACGTTTGAAAGAGATATTTGGTGTATCACATGTGGATCGTTTTGTTGAGATACTTTTTCAAACTTGATGAGAAGTAGGTCGTTGGTAGTTGAACCATGGAATATGTGAATTGGGAAGTTGAATGACTGTAGGACTAGTCTGTTGGAATTGGTTTTCATAACGTTTGAAAGAGATATTTGGTGTATCACATGTGGATCGTTTTGTTGAGATACTTTTTCAAACTTGATGAGAGATAGGTCGTTGGTGAATGAAGCATGGAGTATATGAGTTGAGAATTTGAATGACTATAGGACTGGTCTGTTGGAATTGGTTTTCATAACGTTTGAAAGAGATATTTGGTGTATCACATGTGGATCGTTTTGTTGAGATACTTTTTCAAACTTGATGAGAGATAGGTCGTTGGTGAATGAAGCATGGAGTATATGAGTTGAGAATTTGAATGACTATAGGACTGGTCTGTTGGGATTGGTTTTGAGAATGTTTACAAGAGATTTTTGGTGTCTCTGTTAGGTTGGTCAAAAAGTGACTGCGCTTTCTTTTGGAGCGCAAATGAAAGACGAATTTTTCACGAGAAATAGAAACTTGATCAATGCATTGACATTCTGTTTGATTACTTTTTGCGACCTCTCAAGTAACTTTACGAATAAAACTTGTACGTGGGATGATTTGTCGAGATACTCATTCAAACTCGATGAGAGGCAGGTCGTTGGTAGTTGAAACATGGAGCAAGTGAGTGAAAAAGTTGAATGAAAGTACATCAGTATGATAAGTTGAACTGGTTTGTTGGAATTGGTTCTGAGAATGTTTGCAGGTGGAAGATTCGTAGAGAGGTTTCTGATGTATGTATTAGATTGGTCTAAAAGTGACTGCGTTTTCTTTTCGTGTGCAAATGAAAAGCGAATTTTTCATGAGAAACAAAAAACTTTTGACTTGATTAATACGTAGTATTCCGTTTGATTTCCGCGATTTTTCAAGGAACTTCATGATTGAAGCGTTCGAGGAAATTCTAACTTTTTTCGACAAAAAACGATTTATCCTCGTCAGTAGTGAAATTCAGTGAACTATCTGACACTGTCATAGTTTGAAGAATGATTTCTTCACCATACGTATCAGATAATTTTTTATAAATTCGCACAGCATTTTTTCCGGAAGAGTAATATAATAAAATACGAAAATATCTCTTTCTATTTTGAAATCGATACTACAACAAAGCTTCTGGAACAAGCTTCAACAATCAGATGTCAGATTATACAAAGAATTTGCGTTTTAAATTGAAGTTAGTTATTTTAAGATAAACATATACGTCCATTTGTTAGAAAAAAAAGGCAATTACTTTTTCAATCCAATAGTTTGATATACAATGACTGAAATGCTTCTGATAATTATAAATATAATTATTTTGGCGTACAGGTTTATTTGGTTTTCGGTTTATCTTTTACTACGGTACCGTTGGTATTCCGAGAGTGTTTGTAGAAAGATGTGGATGAGAGGTTTTAAAATTACGTTTTGAGAAATTATTGGCAAGAAAACTACATTGGGCGTTTGTAACTGAGGTACAAGCACATTGTATTCTACAGTTTTACATCAAACTTTACTTACTTATTGTAAGAAAGTGGTGCCAAGAGAAAAGTTTGATTGAAATACATCCTTGAAATTAAAGGGGAGATTATAGAAGATTCAGATACTTATTTTTCGTATTTTGATTAATATAAAATTTTAAAGAACGAAAATAAAAAATATTACATAATTATAAGTTAAGTTATTATATGTATAAAAAAAATTTGTCCAATACAAACTAAATCTTTAGATTTTAGTCCGTATAGATCTTTAAAAACTCTGTCTTTTAAGATTTTTCCTATATTTAATATGCATACGTGTCCAGTATTAAGCTCAAAATTTTTCTACATAGCAAATCCCAGTTTTGATAGTGGTTAGAAAGTTAGGGACATTGCTAGCGGCAAATACACAATTTTCTTCTGATCTCGATCCTACGTATACCGTGATTTATGGTGTAAGGAAACTCGCATTTAAAATTCCCCTGTGCAAAGGGAATCGAGTAACTTGCTGAAAACGTACGACTTTTTCACTCTGTGAAAGGCACGCTACGTACACTATAGAACAAAAAGTTTGGAATTCAATATCTGATACTTTTTCCCTATTATTTCGCACTTTTGAAACTTTTGTTTGTTTCGAAAACTTAGAGACTGACGAACCTTTCATTTCCCATAGCTTTTTTCCTATATCTGCCTGTATTTCTATATTTTTTATAGATATAGTAACTATACTTTTACAATATAGTTTCTTGATATAAATATTTGATACTTTCCTTTGAATAAACTAGACTATTACTAATGTCCTCTGTAACCATAGTGTGTGTGCAACTATGTTAATATTAATATCATTTATTAATAACAAAATCAATATCGACGCAAATGGAAATAAGAAAAATAGACAAAAGTAAATGAATAATGCTCTTTTGTGCTCACTGTTCTCTAGTAAAATAAGCTATTCTTGTTTAACCTACTTTCAACGTATCTAGATAAATTGCCTAGTTGTGTCAATATCGTTATAATCAACGACATTATATCAAGATGGCGAGGACGTGACGAAGAAAGAAAAGGAAATTAAACTGATATTTATATGAGATGACATACAGTTGACACTTGGTTGTTTGAGTCAGTTGACTAGATCGCAAATTTTTATACGTACGTGGAAAGTTGTGAAAAATTGTATATATTACACGTGACATGTTATTTCAAAAACAAAAAAAAAAAAACAAAAGCAATAAATCTTAACTTAACTGGATTCTATTCTATTCGTAGAAATATAAATTTAAACATTTTATTTTAATGCAAAAGAATTATTTCGAACTATTCTAATCTACAGATATCAATATTAAACAGATAGAAAATCTTTTGAACAGAAGTGCAACTCTTATCTTTTTTTTCACAAAGAACCATCTTCAAAATTTCCATTCACGACGTACCGATAATCAATCGTTTCGTTAATCGGTGCTCTGATGTTTCATTGTGCAATAAAACCAGCCATCCGAAGTATAATAAATGAAAAGAAACTTCAACAAATTCCTGAAACGTAAAGTGCAGTTATATTAAATACTTGAATGTCATTACAACGTACATATTATTGCAAAAGTATACAGATTTTGTCTGGATTATTTCCACACGGGAGATACGCACAAATAGGAAATTAAATTACACGTGCCGTTCTGGCAATTTTTAATTTCCCCTGACAAGCCATTTATTTGACAATTTCGCGCGGACGAAAAACTACGGCACGGAATAGAAGAAAATTGTAATGTGGAAGATAAACAGAGAGTGGAAAGAGGATGAAAAATGCAACGTAATGAGAAATTTGGCAACAAAATTATCTCGTTTCATTAGCGTAGTGTTGTAACACGCGTCTCATCTAATTTCCCTTAATTTGGGTTGCTGCATCTGTACACGACGCCATATTTCTTTATATTGCGCACAGGGCGATCCATTGAAATATCTCTGTTATCTTTTATTCTTTTATGTCCCGTCCGGCGTGCGTATTTTTCGCTGACATTCTCCAAAACTGAGGCAAAACCGGCAAACTTATTTATCACCGGGCACCAAAAGATATTATTGATCTCTCCATTTATTATCTTTTTCGTTGCACGAACTCGCATACTGGCTCTCGTGTATTCGCGTTGATTCTGAACAAATTCAGTTTAATAAGAAAGAAACAAATATTCCAGATCAAATGAAGATTTGATATTCAAAAAGTTATATATTTTTTTTATAAAAAACAAGATATATTTTACTTTCCGTATTTGCATACTACGCCGCAAGATGAAACGACGTAGCAACATGCATCATTTTAATTATCTGTCAAATTTGCTTACTACCTAAAACTTGTGTTAATAAATACTAATGTTTCCAGGGAAATGAATGTGTTTTCATATAACTGACGACGATCGTTGATTACAAATTATATTATTTTTTATCGTCAGATAATTGAAATAACAAATGTCACCACATTATTAAATTTCTTTCTCTTCTACAGTCAACGAACAGTCTTGCTTTCTAATTTTACATACATACGTAAGGTTCAACATCTTTATTAACAAATTTCTTATGTTTTTAACGTTCCATCATCTAATGATAAACATGATAAAAATTGTGCAAACTTTTCAAACAACGCGATACATTTTCAATAATACCATTAAACTCAGGCTCGAAACATTTCCTCGTAGCGGAATCAGTTTCGCGGATCGTCCTTGTCATTTCTCGAAAAATAAAGAACAAAAGATTTTCCGTTTATCGACATC